GCTCCTGGCTGAGGACTCACACTGAGGACACACATTTTGAACTATTCCAGGCGTGTGAACCTCCAGGGCCGCACCTCTGTGATCTCTAGGGTCTGTAGGGTCCTCTGCTTGGAAGGTGAATTAGACCCTCCAACTCTCTGCTGAAAGCGAGGATTTCTCTGCTACAAGCCTGGCTTGGGGTCCAGGATAGAGGCTACGAATCGGTGGGCTGTGGGTCAGACTTGGTCTGTGCATAGTTCACTGTGGTGGTGTTTCGTCTTTTTGTTCGGTGTTACTTAAAAATGTGAATTAAACTTCTTGTCACACTTTAAAATTCATAAGATTTCAAAAAAAAAGAACCAGTTTCTCTCCTTCCTTTTCTCCTTCTTTCCTTCCTGTCCTCCTTCCCTTGAGAAACTGAAAGACCATTCCGCAGTGGACTTGGACTTGACGAGATGACAGCTTTTGAGGAGGGTCCGTTGGCCCTGTCCCCACCTGGCTGTCTTCACCGTTTCAGATCCGCCCGCCTGACCTTGGAGACATTGGATTCACGGCGAGGCACCTGCCTAGGCCAGGGCCTCACTCACCTTCACCCCAGTCCTGCTCTGACCCTGTCTTCTTTGCTGTGGCCTCTGACTTCTCGTTTTTTTGATATCTTAATGACTTTCTTCCTGGTTAAACTAGTAACTAGCTGTGCATTATTAATATTTATACTCCATTTTGTTAACTACCTTGTTTTAGAAATCTTTTTTTTCAGCGTGCACTTGGTCATTCTCTGATGAGTTCATAAAGAGTATTTGTATTACAGTTATCTTTTTTCATTTCATACTTCGTATTAGCTTCTTTCCTTTTCTAAAAGTGATAACACAGTACATTTAACTTTCAAGAAGTTATATTGAAGTAAACAAACACCCGTCAGTGTGGGACTCTCAGGCCACCTGTTGCCGTCAGTCTTCACGGACTAGGCGTGAGGCTGTTTCTTGGACCGCGGTCCCCTGGACAGCACAGTGGGACCCTCCTGTCACCAGGAGCACTCTCTTCTCCCTGACGCATGCGTGGCAACACTGGGCAACAGGGGGATCCGGCCATTCACTATGGGCCTCTGCACCGCCGTTCTCTAAATTTAGTTTAGGCTGCTGCGTAAGCTCCTTAGGATTTTTTGCTTGAAAAAAATTCGGAATTAAAAGGAAAAAATGTGATATTTATTGTTGATCAATTTTAAGTCCTTTTGGGAATAAGACTCAGTATGATTTAATGCAGCAAACCACAGAAACATATACCAACCCATAAATGATACAGTGAGCTGACAGGAAATACTAACCAGATTACCTATGAGAAAACTCTCAGTTTGTTCTGGTGAAAAATTCAACAGTTTTCCCCCCCTTATAATTCTGCTGCATTTAGATTAAAGTTTCAAAGAAGTCCTATTTGGGGCATTCAACTTATGTGTACTTAAAAAAAATCTATGAAAACTACAGTAAGAAAAAAATAAATCCCAGTAATTATTTACTCAAATTAACACACATCCTATATAGTTGGAAAAAAAAGATTTTTGGATATATATTTTATTTGACAGTGTTTTAGAATATCATACAGTAAACAAGATTTCTGTAAAAGTTAATTTATCCATAGTGGTGCGTTTCATAAAAATAGTTGCTCACTTACAGTCTTTCTGTGACTATTAATACATGGAATTATATTTATAGAGATACAGCTGTACAGGGTAAATTCACAGCTAACACTACACAGAAATATTATTTGGAATGGGATTTAGATGATGTGCTGTCTTCACAGGTTATGGATTACAGCCGCATAAAGCAATTACTGCACAAGTAGTAGCTGTGAACTGTGCAAATTAGAGTTTATGCAAGCGTAATCTCAATTTTTTTTATCCTTTTGTAACACATGGAAAATAAATGTCAGAGGATACAGTACTGGGACGTGCAGCTACACTACAGAAGCATTGTCGAAAACCAGATTCAATAAATTAATGGCAAACTATACTGGATTTCTAGTCCAGGGGAGAAAGACTAATTGAGATTAAACCAAATGTATTGTAAACTGCTACATGTGTTTGTGCTTTTGTTTATGATGAATGGGCTCCATTTTTGAAAATTGCTTTTACAAGCTGCAAGACTCTTCACTTGAGGCTTTCAACCATATTTTCCTCTTGTCAAACAACTACACTCCTATGCTTGATGAAAATTAAACGGCTAGTGCTCAGGATACAGCAATTACAAAGAGGGAAAGGGTCAACACAGGGAGGCTGTTAGAGGAGACCTTGTGAGCTGGAGCAGCCCTGCCCCCTTTCCTTATTTGACTATAAGTGCAGGGAGGTGAGGCTCATTTGCATTTGAACTCCTGTAAGGGGCAGTTTACCAGCAGGATAAAGCCTCATTCATCCAGACCATATTCGAGAAAAACTGCCCTCTGAGACATTTAGCCTTTTACTATGTGTAGCTACAAATAAGTAACGTTGTGTGAACAAAAAAGGGGCTATATAATAAACCTGACGAGCCCAAGGGGTTACGTGGCAGACCTGAAATGCGCTGTAACAAAAAGTAACCACACAGGATGGTCTGATCATGAATTCCCGTTTCTCCTGTGACTCTAAATGAGCAAAATAAACTGGAAAACTGACACTCTCCTGAGCATTTTCTCAATCCATTGCAACTTGGCTTCTGGGCATTTTTTAAAAAATCTGGCTTAAATAAATTTTTAAAAAAGTTTCCTATAGGTTTGGAGGTTCTTTGGTTGACAAATGGATACCATTTTTTTCCCAAAGAAATATTAAAGCAGCAGGGGAAAAAAAGCAAGCCTTCGAATTTTACTAGGGGATCAACCATAGATCAATGAAGATAAACAGAAACATCTAGAGGTTGCTAAAGAAATAAAACTTGGCAAAGATCAGCGGGGGGGGGGGGGGAAGCAAACCAAATGGAAAGAAAAGGAGAAAGAATAAGGAAAGAAAGATAAGCAGAAGAAAATGCTATAAAAAGATTTATGCTCTTTAATGAAAATAAATTGGTCATAATGATTTTTTAGTATCAGGGATTCATTATAATCTGAAAAATATAGAAGAAATACTTTGCTTCTGCGCTATGAAAGTGAAAATGAAGTCATGAAAAGAGGGTTTTAAGAAAAGAACAGTAAAATATAACATTGCCGTCAAAGAAGCTACCAGCTCTGCTAGCCCGAGACAACAGGAAAGCCTTTTCATACAGAAACTGCAGCCTTGCCAATCTTGGTTAAACCAACTGTGGTTCTATGAAGTTCATAGTTGAGATGAAAACCAATTAAGATCTATGAGCTAAACCGCGAAATTCTGACTTACGGCAAACTGTTCCCTAGGATACAATTTTTAAAACCTTTGTTCTCTACCACTGAAAACGTACAGAAATATGATTTGATCACAGAAATGGCAGTAAAATGGCATCACACCAATGAATTCACTAGATTTCTAACCCGTCCTGCACTACGCAGAGAACACGCTGCTAATACCGGTGATGGACGCCACGGGTGAGCCATGGAGACGTGTCGTGGGCGAACAGTTCAGAATGTTTCAAAGAAACCTTTTAACCCCTGTCTAGTTATGTCAAGAACAATTTATTTACAACTCTTTAGATCGATTAAAAGATATAATAATCTTGTCTCAGTTTCAGCTTGCTCCGTGCAGTTTGATTTTTTAAGGCGTTATTCCAGTTCGTGATTGCTCTTAACTTGTCCAGTTTCTTGATATACAGTTTGGATGATATCCAGATCCTTCATGCAGTGGGGGGAATTTTTTTCTTTCTTTTTTAAACTAAAGCTACACTGCACTGTCTCTCCGTGACGTTCTTCACGTTGTTTTGGTTCTTCCATAGCTGCCAAAGCCCCCGCGGCGGAGCTGGGGGCTCTGGGGTCAGTTTCGGGCCGCGCCCGGAGGCCGGACCGCCCACGCTCCGCGGACGCCGCGGCCTCACGGCGCTGCTCCCAGGCCTCGGTGCCTCGCGGATCGATGCGTGTGACCGTGAAAATAAATTAAAACGCCGAGAGACGCAACCGAAGAAGAACGGCCTGCGGGCGTCGAGGCGGGGCGGCAGGCTGGGGCCGTGAGCTCACCGGCCGGCGGCCGAGGCGCCGGGCTTGAGGACGCCGGACAGCTTGTCGGAGCCCGGGACCTTCCAGGGCCCCGGCGCCAGGGCGGCCCTGCGCGCGGGGGCGCCCCCTGGAGGCCGCGCGCCCGCCCGGGGTCCTGCGCGCGCGCCCGCCCGGCCCTCGGCCTCCCGAGCGCCGCCGCCCGGCCCCGCGAACGCGGGCGCAGCGCCGGAACCTTCGCGGCGGCCGAGCTCCGGGCCCGTCGCGGCGCGGGACCCTTCCTTCCCGCCGGCCCGCGCTGCGTCCACCGCGTCCGCCGCCGCCGCCGGCCCGGGCGCCCGGGCCTCCGAGGAGGGCCTGCCGGCCTCGGGCCGCCCGAGGCTGCCGGGCGCCTCCTCGAGCCTAGGCCGCGCGGCCCTCAGCGGACTCGCCGAGCGCTCCCTCTGCTCCCCGAGGCGCTGCTTCTTCTGGCCGCCGGCTGCAAGCTCCTTTGGTTTCCTAACGTCGTGTTCCCTTTTGATATCCCAAGTCGGGTCTGGGCTTATCTGGTGGGAAGGGTCGGAGGGTGGGGCTGGGTGTGGTGGAGAGAAGGGCGAGAGGACGTCCTCCGCGGAGACGCCTACTTCCTGCAGGCCTGGGGCGGCGGCAGCGGGACCACTCCAGGAGCCGGGTTCGTCTGCGGGACAGGAAGCACAGGCGTTAGGAGCCGGGCCGCGGCGCGGGCTTTCCACGCTCCCGCGTCCTCTCCCTACGTTAGGGACGTGGGCAGGCAGCCAGGGGCGACTGCTTTCCAGGCCCCAAGCCACCGCCACCCCCCCACCCCGACCCTCGCTGCCAACAGGGCAGCCGGCCTCATCCCGGGGCTCCTGTTCTGGCCCCGCCTATACCCCAGTCCCTCGCCCTCACTGAGAGATCAGGGAGGTCACTGCTGAGCCCGGGCCTAATCCATCCCTACGCCTTGGCCACTTCTGTCTTCTGCGCGTCATCAGGTCTGATGGCCCTCTGCGTACATCTGAATAACCTGGGGAAGTTGTGAAAAATACACATTCCTGGGTGGCCAGGAACAGAGATCCCAGCAGGATAGGTCCCAGGAATTTCTGTGCATTTTTAACAGCAACCAGATGATTCTGAAAATGGTCCAAGAACCAAGCTTTGAGAAACACTGGTCTGAGTTCTCTGGAAAAAGTTAGGAGAGTGCTTTTCCAACCATTAGGTGTCACTCAAAGCATAATTCTTAGCTACTGTCAGATAGTCTCAGAACTTGGATATCTTTATGTAAAAACTTTCATTGTTGTCTTTTGAAAAATCATTATCCTTAATTCTTTTCAGTAGTTCTAACATTATAAAAGTTCTAGCACTAGGATAAATGATTCTTTCTAGGAAGCCTAGTTTCAACATTTATTTGGGATTTAAGATCTTTAAGAAAGGATTTGACATAATTTACAACAACAAAACACATACAAAATAGAATGATAAAAATGAGAAATGACCTTAAACAACGCAAACACTGGTTAGAAGCCAAGTAGAGGGAGAACAGATGAGTTAGTCACTACTATGAGCACTAATGTTAGTCTTGAGTTTCTGGCCACTAAAGCAAAATCAAAGGGATATCAAATACAGTGAACCCTTGTAAGGAATATATCCCAAGACCTTTGGAAATCCTCAACTTTTGGAATGTCCTTCTGGAGTGTAATTTTTCTCCATAGAATTAGTTTATGGTCATGAGTGGGGCACAAAGAAGCCACATTGGTATCTGGATGCTGAGTGGCAGGCCAGGCACCCTCACTAGCCAAGAGATTCAGCCCCATACACCAGCCTCAGTGCATGTCACTCAAATTCCTGCCACCGTAACGTCATGTGTCAGAGTCTCTCTGGGCCCCTTATGCACACTCAGTTTGCGGATATCAAGGGTCTACTTCGTTTACAAGTTGAGGATTCTTATCTGGTACCTTCTTATCTGATTCTTATGCTGAATTATAAAGAGAGGAGGAGAGGAAGAGGGCAGGCTACTTCCAATAATTCTGGCCACCTGTAGAATATCACAGCAGTTTTTAAAGTTTTTTCCTTTGATGTTAAATTTGAATGGAGTATTTAGGGCACAATGTTCTCCTCCTTCTTTCCATACACTGATATCAAGTATTATGTTTACTCACTATGAAGTGAGTAAAAAATCCTAGAAAAGCATCAGAAGAACTGGAATCCAATCCTGCCCCTGCCATTTACCATTGATGTGATTTCGGACCAACTACTCCACCTGTCTGAGCCTCAACGTCTCCCTTTATAAGGTGAGGATAAAGTGTCTGCCTCACTGAGGTGAGATGTGGTCTTTCAAAGGGCAAAGCACCTGGCAACGGAAGGATGATAACAAGGTTTTACCTATAGTTGAGTCAGATTTTCCTCCTGTGCCCCACTGGCTGCCTACGTGCAGACCGGACCACGATAACTAGCATACTTGCCAGGCAGGTTTTGAATAAGTGCTGTAAGTCGGCCATTCCCCTGTACTGTGATTCCCTGAGTGGTTCTACCTCAGGTACCCTTGGTCACCTTGGAATATTCTGAAGTCTTCAGATGCAAATGTGTTGAAACATTTGAAAGTTGGAGTACATTTTGCTTCTGGGTTAGGACTTAAAACTCTAACAAATGATGTTAGAGTGATCATCGCAATGCCACTAATACAGGAAGATATGGCCTGAAAGGGTTAAAAGTGGTGTTCAAAAGGCCTAACTAGAGGGTAGTTTGTGCAATGGTCATCTCTAACTTGGACCACTGTAATGATGTTTCTCATTTTAATAGCTCTCCCCTGCCATTACATCATATAGAATAGAGTCACTTAGCTGGCCTCACATTACTTCTGAGATTCAGGGAGGTTGAGATTATTCCTACCATTTACTGAAGGAGGAACTGAAGCAGAGAGTTTACGTAATTTGACCAAGATTGCAAAATGGGTAAGTGAAGAGCAATTTACTCTTGTTACTTACTGAGAAAATTTTCCTGAGACGAAGCCTTGCAAATAGGATTACAGTATGTGAGATGGAAGCGCCAAGCCAGGGGCCTCTGCTGACCGACAGAATCGAGATCCCAGCAATGCACTGAAAACTTGGCATTTGTTTCTGAACAACTTGCTTACAATGGTAAAGTAGAAGGTGAAGTTATTCAAGATAAAAAAATATAAGAAGAATCCCTCTTATAAAAACTCTTCTCAAGCATTTCTTTATAGATTATTAAATGCTTAATGGGAAAAACGAAAAGCTAAAATGTTCCAAGCCACTACTGATTAAGAATATTAGTCATAAGTTAAAATGAACTACCATCACAAAGTGAAATGATTGAAAAGATGGACGTTTACATATGTGGTTTAATAGTTTTCCTTCTGGGGGACAGGAATCCTCCGGTTCCATACTAGACATGTGGCATCTGCACCGGATGAGCCTGTGACGATCCGCACAGCACCAAGGACAGGCGGCAGTGGCCCCCACTTGGCCCTGCCCAGCCGCCCTCAAGGTGACAAACTGAGCTGGGCCGCAAGAGGCCTTCTCGAACATTTCAAACTCCAGTTTTCATGAAATCTCGATGCACAATAACCAGAAGAATTAATCCCACTTAGTTCTCATATTTTCACATTTATTTTTCTTTCTTTCTTTCCCCTTCTCCCCCTTCCACTCCCTCCATCTCTTTTTATTTTTTCCTCGAACCTGGCCACTGACTAATGAGTGTAATCACGCTCATTTATGAAGTACCTGGCCAGGAGTTCAAGCTCCAAACATCCTGTTTGAGATATTCTAGCTAGAATAAAAAATAATGGACATCCTGTAAAGATGACAAGAGCCATGTGGGCCTGCTGGGATTTCTGCAGCTCCTTTGTCCAAACAATGTCTCAGCCCAACAGATGAAATTAGAAAGGAAAAAGCCTTTTATTCCCAACCATCTTCCTCCACCCATACTGGCACCTGAGCGAAACTGCTCTGGTTAAGGTCACCAGTGATCTTTCTGCTGTCAAATCCAGAGGCGGTGGTTCTGTATGTCTCTCAGGGCATTGTCTCACCCCATGCCCCAGCTGACCAGAAACAAGCTGAACTCTTGGCTGCCACACACTTCACTCTCTGGCGCTCTGTCCCAACACTCTGGCAGCTCCTTCTCAAGTTACTTTGTAGGTCCCTCTTTTCTTTTACCTGGCCTCTCATGTTGGCATTCCTCAGGGCTTGGTCTTAGGTCATTTTCTTTCCTCATAGTCTCTCCTAGGTGTTCTCATATGCATTCACATAGTTTTTATAGGACAATAGTCCTGAATGTTTTCTGCTGTGCTCTGTGCTGCTTTGTCCAGCTCTCTACTTGACCTCTTCACACAAATAGATTAGCACCTTCACTGCAACAAGTGCAAAATGGAAATCTTTTCATCTTTTCTTCCCAAGCCTGTTTTGTACTCTTCCCTTATTTCTGTATCCTGGTGAATGGCACAACTACCACCTGGAGTCATCCTTGGTTCCTTTTGCTCTTTCACCTCACAAATGTGGTCCATCTGCAGGCCGAATTAGTCTTATCACCAGATATACGTGGACTCCATCAACTTCTGTTCACCTTCACTTTCGCCACCCTACTTCTAGATCCAGGACAGTCCCTGGAAGACTGGAACCAGTGTAGGCTGTCCAAGATCATCACTCTTAAAAGAGGGCCACACTGTGGATGGGCATCTTTTCATAAACCTTTGCCATATTCTCAAAGACAGAAATTGTAAACACGAAGTTTGATGTTGTTCAGACAAGAGGAGTTACGTGTAGTATCGTGGGAACCACACAGCCGCCCCCTGAGCTCAGAGCCAGGACAACTAGTTATCACATCCAAGAGGTGGGCCTGCCAAGCTATTGTTTCTCACATGGGCAACTGCAATAACCCCTGCTTCCCTTTACTTCTACTCTTGCCGACCCCCACGATTCTCCACAGAGCATCCACAACACCTCTTTGAGATATAAATGAGATCATACCATCCCCCTGCTTGAAAGTTTTGGTAAATTCTTACCACTTAGATTAAAATCCAAAATTAGTGACACGATCCACAAAAGCCTGCCAGCCTCCTGGCTTCATCTCCCTGCACCCCCATTCTCCACACACACCGGCCTTGGTTCACGTCCTCAAGTGCACCAAGCTCATTCTCCGTTCTGCCGCTTCACTGCTGACCCCTCTGTCTGAACACTCTCCTCCCACCATCCACATAGCACAGTCCTTTCATCCTTCAGGGACCCTAAATAGCATCTCAGGGGACCCCAATCCACAGCAGATGCTCTGCTCTCCTCCAGAGCATCTCGTTTTTGTTTCCTCGTAGTACTTACAGTTTGTAATTATGTATTTGCTTCCTTATTTGATTAATATCAGCTTTCAGACTCGATTATGGAGAGCAGTGACCACACTGGTTTTGTTTATGACAGTGGTCTTCATACCTAGCATACTGTCTGACACAAGGGTAAGCGTGCAGTGAATATTCGATGAAGAAATAACTGTATTCTACAAAAAGAAATGGAAGACTTGAAACCAAATGCCTATTTGAGGGAACAATTCAAGGCAAAAGATCTTCATTTAAAGGATAATCAGCCCAGCGAGGTCTGTGTTTGTGATTTTTATCAGTTTTTAGAGAGAGGATGGTGATGAAATGATAATGCGAATTTGAAGTAAGAGAGGAAAGAAATTAGTTTGTAGGAAAAAATGCAGAAAGAGGATTACAGCAACAGAAACTATGAGGGGGGAACTCAGAAAACCTGGAATTTATTCACTTATTTATTTTTTAAAAGTATATTTTATTGATTATGCTACTACAGTTGTCCCATTTTCCCCCCTTTATTCCTCTCCCTCCACTCCGACTCCCACTAGCATTCCCTCCCTTTAGTTCATGTCCATGGGTCATACATATAAGTTCTTTGGCTTCTCCATTTCCCATACTATCTTAACCTCCCCCTGTCTATTTTGTACCTACCATTTATGCTTCTTACTCCATGTACCTTTTCCCTTATTCTCCCACCCCTCCCTACTGATAACCCTCTATGTGATCTCCATTTCTGTGATTCTGTTCCTCTTCTAGTTGTTCGTTTAGTTCACTTTTGTTTTTGTTTATAGGTTCAGTCGTTGATAGTTGTGAGTTTGTTGTCATTTTACTGTTCATAGTTTTGATTTTCTTCTTTTTCTTAGCTAAGTCCCTTTTACATTTCATATAATAATGGCTTGGTGATGACGAACTCCTTTAAGTTGACCTTATCTGAGAAGCACTTTATCTACCCTTCCATTCTAAATGAAAGCTTTGCTGGATACAACAATCTTGGATGTAGGTCCTTGACTTTCATGACTTGGAATACTTCTTTCCAGCCCCTTCTTGTCTTTGAGGTTTCTTTTAAGAAGTCAGCTGATAGTCTGACAGGAACTCCTTAGTAGGTAACTACCTCCTTTTCTCATGCTGCTTCTAGGATTCTCTCCTTCATTTTAATCTTGGCTAATGTAATGATGATGTGCCTTGGTGTGTTCCTTCTTGGGTCCAACTTCTTTGGGACTCTTTGAATTTCCTGGACTTCCTGGAAGTCTATTTTCTTTGCCAAATTAGGGAAGTTCTCCTTTATTATGTTTTCAATTTCTTGCCCTTCCTCTTCTCCTTCTGGCACCCCTATGATTAGGATGCTGGAACGTTTAAAGTTGTCCCGGAGTTCCTATGCCTCTCCTCATATTTTTGAATTTTGTTTCTTCATTCTGTTCTGGTTGAATGTTTACTTCTTCCTTCTGCTCCAAATCATTGATTTGAGTCTCATTTTCCTTTCCTTCACTGTTGGTTCCCTGTATATTTTCCTTTATTTCACTTTGCATAACCTTCACTTTTCCCTCTATTTTGTGAGCACATTCAACCATTTCTGTGAGCATCCTGATTACCAGTGTTTTGAACTGGTAGCATCTGGTAGGTTGCTATTTCTTCATTGCTCTTTGATCAATCTGTTTTTTCTGGACCATATTTTTCTGGACCGTATTTCTTCGTCTTAGCACACCTGTTATGTAGTAAGGGGCGGGGCCTTAGGTATTCACCAGGGCAAGGCCACCCACACTGCTGCGTTGTGACACTGTATATGGGGGAGGGGTCAGAGAGGGAACAATGCCACTTGCTCAGCTCTCCACTGGCTTTCAGTCACTTCCTCAACTACCCACAAGGAAATTCGGCCCTTCTGGTGCTGATTCCTGGGTGGGTGGGTTTGTGTACATTCCAGGACCCTGTGGATCTCTCCAATGAACTCTACTCTGAGGCTGGGAGGTTCTCTGACCACTGCAACCCCCAGAGATTTTTACAGCCAGAGCTTTTGAGATTTTCGTTTCACATGCTGGAGGCTGGGGTTGTGCAGTCTATCTTGCTCCCTAGTTTTTCCTCCTGTTCTATCCACATGCAAATGTGGGACCACCTGGTCCACCGGCTGCTGCCTTGTTGTGTGTCCTCTCCACCCTGAGTGCCCATCTTTGCCCCTCCTACCAGTGTGGAAGATTATTTCCTCTTTAATTCCTTGGTTGTTGGACTCCATACAGTTTGATTTTCTGGCAGATCTGTTTGTTTTTGTTTTGAAATTTGTTGTTGTCCTTCTTTTGGTTGTGCAAGGAGGTGAAGGATATCTACCTACGCCTCCATCTTGGCCAGAAGTCCTCCCTGGAATTTATTTATAAAAAAATTGTGTATTCTCACATGTTTACACTTCAGTCACCTTCAAAGGACTCTCCATTTGATGCAATACACCTACTGGGACATTTTTCCACTGTTCAAAATGGTTTTCGAACTTTTTAGTGCTTTTTAGTGCTTCTGCTGTTTTTTGTTTCACCTCTTCCATATTGGCAAAATGTTTCCCTTTGAGGACTTCTTTCATTTGGGGAAACGAGAAAAAAGTTGCTCAGGGTGAGATTGGGTGAATAGGGAGGGTGGGGCATGGGGATTCATGCTATTTTTGGTCAAAAACTGCTGAACACCCAGTGTGGCGTAGGCAGGTGCGCTTGCAAGTCACCCATCGTGAAATGGGCAGATGTATTGGGTCTTCAACTAAGAATCACTGAAGCTGAATGTGGCCTCTCATGACAACACCTGCAAGTACACCAATACAGATGGGTTCCTAGAACACTCACCCAGCGGGGGAAGCCTGTACTGCAAGGGGCCCACCCTCCAGAAGATAATTTTGTTTTTTGGGGTTCCCCCCTGAACATTGGGAAGAGTTCTTGGCTTTCATCAGTGCTCCCTGGAATGGAGAGGGACAAAGAGAAGCTCTGGATATGAGAACCTGTGGTCAAGTTTCCCTGACATTTAACAGTTGTTCCTTCCCTTGTTTACCTTACAGCCAAGGTGAAGCAATGACTTTGCCTAAAGGAGCTCCATCCCTGGGGAGTCCATCAACCTGTCCATGAAGGTTCAGATGAACCACAGGTAAGAGAGACCCTAAATATTTCACACTCTCCTGGGGGAGAAGCAAGGCCTTCTCCTGAGTTAGGATCAAGTTCTTTCCTCCCTGCTGTCAGTTCTAGCCAGTTTGGATGTTTCCTATAACACAGATTGATTAATACATAATATATATTATTAGTGTGTATACACACATACATACATATATATGTGTGTATATATATATATATACACATTTATACACACACAAATCACACACGCCATTATCTTTGAGTTAAAAGCTGTATTATTTCTTAAATTATCTCACAGGAACCCAGAGTAATGAAAAATAAAATGCACTCTTTCACTTCATATGCCTGAGATAAACAAAACAAAGTACCCCACCTACTATGTTTCAACATCTAGTTTATCTTCTGGAATATAACCCAAGTGACAGTGACCAACCAGGAATAAACTACTTAATTGCAGACCTGCATTCTTGGTTCTCCCAGTGGCTCATATATCCATCAAAAATTTGTGCAGGAAAGGAAAATATAACTCAAATCAAGGAAGAATTAATTGTATCCAATGCTGAAGGTAAGGGAGACTACTCAGAAGGGAGTCAGGGATTATCTCAAGGGGAACGAAACTGCCTCCTGCCCCACACCTCACCCAATAGCCTTAGGGCTTCCAGCTTTGGGCCGATTGGATCCCTCAGGCCCTGAATAAGGGCTCCCACACTGCTTTCTCTCTCCCACTGCAGTGCTGGCATACAGAGCATAGTGGCTGCCTTTGGGTTAGGGTGTTTCAGGAAGGTGACAATACCAGCATTGGTTACAATAATAATGGCAATAGTTGGCATTGATTGAAGTGATTACTAGGTGCTAGACACTCTTCTAAGAGTTTGAAATGTATTTACTCAAATTAAAACTTGCAGATTTTACAGATGAGGAAACTAAGGCACAGAGAAGTTAAGTAGCTTGTTTAAGGCAGCGTAGCTGGTAGGTAATAGAGCAGGGTTGTTGAATGACTTTCTGAAGTGGGTGATGTTCTACCAGCTCAGCTGAGAACAATGCGATTGGACTCCCTCACTACCCACTATTTTGACTGAGAAAGGGGGCTCCTTTCTTTGTCTGGGGCAGCAAGACAAAAGCTGACGTGACGGTCAGAGACAAATCTATCATTTACTCCAAATGGCGACTCTGAAATGCCGCTTGTGTTTGAACCGTGGACACAGAAGGTCAGCTGCCATAGTTAGGGTGTTGATTTGTAAAAATGCTGGAAGTATGAGCTAGAGACAGAGAATAATGAAATTAGATTTCTTAAGAACAGGGATAATACTATGAACTTAAAAAATATACCTCACAGTGTACATTTGAACCTGGATTGAATTGAAAATACTTATACTAGATATTGGAAACACTAAGTCAGGTTGAGACATAAATACTTTTACTGCTCAAAATTATGCTGTAAAGAGGTTCATGGATTTTGTAAGTGTTACTTCTTTTGACAAAACCTTTCCTGTTTCAACCTACAGTTGGCTGGGTTAGAGAATACTGATATAGCTACATTGAAATATACTTTCTTCTAATTTAGGATTTTGTGAGAAATATAAAAATAATTAGAGTATTTCAAAGGATAGTAATGTGAAGTCATTGGTGTTCAAAAAATAATCTTTTTAAGGATGGGTTCAAACCATAATGGCTTATCTGGATCTGATCAGCCATTACTAAGGTAATTGCTTTTTTGTAACACAATACAAATAAGAAAAATGTGCATTTAAAAATTTCAGAGCAAATTATTTTACTTTGCTTCTGCTCTTTCTGAAGCATTGTTTCCAGTCTAGAGATAATGTTAATGGCCTTTAAGCATGTGTTTTTTCCCTTTTATTGCCAGAGACATGTAAACTAGGTGTTATAAACATTAATAACTTCAAAAATTGTGCCCCTATTTGCTTAGTGATGCTTCACACTCACACTGGTCGTGGAAGCTTAATCAAGGTGCAGCGGCGAGCTCCGGACCAGGACTGCCTGCCACCGCGGCCGACCGGGCACATCTCGGGGGTCGAGGGCTGCTCACGGAGCAACCACTGGCCCAGCGGCTCATGTGCACCAGGAACCTTGCCACGTGCGTCATATACAGTATCTTTTCATGCTCAGAGCCGATCTAAGAACTATGGTGCTAGTGTCCTCATTTCACAGACGAGGAAACAGGCTCAGATGAGTGATGCAATTTGCCAGGGTGACTCTGCTAGTGTGTGAGTCAGAACAACCGACTCGCATGTGACTTTAGAGCCCAAGCCCCAACCAACAACAATTCTATTCTGTGCTTTCTCACCTTTTCTACATCGGGACACACAGAGAAAAAGATAATATTTAAGCAGTGCACTGGAGTGAACATGAAAATGTTCAAGGGCTGATGACGGCAGCCAAGTCCTTCTTGCACCGCCCAGAGCCCAGAGGGAGTTGATATTAGCATGACCGGGAAGAGGAAGGGTACAGAGGACAGATTAGGAAAAGTCAGTTCTGTTTTTCAATGAGGGAAAATCTTCATCATCCAGACTGATTTGGGGATGTGGGAATTCGAGGGTTCCATTTCAATTAGTAAAGTATCTGCATTACAGGGTATATGAGACATATGCTTGTTCATTCATTTCAAGCATATTTTGGAAAGCAACACATTCTCCTTTTCAATTAAGATCTTAAATGGAAGCCCCAAATGTACAACAGATCAAAACAAAGCTGCTTTGGTTTGGGCGGGTGGATCCAAAGCTCACTTCCACCTGCAGGGGCTCCTCAGCCCACTTCTCAGCAGCCCTGAAGAGCGCAGCTCCAAAACCATAGCACGAAGAAGTGGCGTTTCTAAAGGCTCTTGTTTAAATGCAAACATACCCACTTAGGGGTTGAGAAGAGGAGAAAGTCAGGGAAGATTTGTTTAAGATTTTTTTTCTCAGCACTACTAGTTGGGAGTCGGACTCTAGGGGAGGGACACAAAGCACAGCTAAGTATCCCTGCAGGAGGGGACTGGAAAGGAGTGTAGGACGGACAGAAGGACAGACTTCACTGTTCCCTAACTTTGCCTTGGCTGGCTTGGTCACCTGCAGCCTCAGCGGGCAGTTCACAGTCTTGCTGAGTAGAGCTCGGCCCTGCTTGTCTTCGGGAAGGGCAGGTCAGCAACTTGTGGAGGAAAGTGCTAGTGGCGAGTCCGGCTTCCCTCTCCTGTATTCCACGTGGGGTGACCTTGGACAAGTCATTTAACCATTTCCATCCTCAATTTCTCAGGGATATCGAGAATTGGGAATTGGGAAAAATATCTGTCCTGCTTCCCTCCCAGAGTTGAGATGATCAAATGAAGTCATATATATGAACATTTACATACACACCAGCATTAAATTAATAGTTTGAAATTAACTTTTAAAATGGGCCAAAAATTTGGGTCATCACTTTATCAAAGATGATATATAAATGGCAAATAAACACATAGAAAAATGCTCCGCTTTATTAATAGCAAACTGCAAATTAAAACTATAGATACCACTACTACTGCATGTCTATGAATATGGCCAACATTTAAAATATAAAAACTAAAAAAACTGAAGAAAACCTGGCAACGATGTGGAGCACCTGGAACTCTCACACGTTTTTGTTGGGAATGGAAAGTGGAACAGCTACTTCAGAAAAACAGTTTGGCATGTTTCATAAAAAGTTAAACATTTAGTTAGCAGACAAGTCAGCAGTCCCACTCTGAGGTATCTATCTACACAAGTGAAATCAAAATGTATGTTCACACAAAAACCTGGATGTGAATTTTTATAGTGACTTCAACTCAAATGTCTAACTGGCGAGTGGAGAAGCACGCCGTGGTGCAGCGGAGCAGTGCTCCGCTGTGGACCGGAATGAGCTCCTGTGCGCCCACCGACATGAGCGACCGCAGATGCACCGTGCTGTGTGAAAGAAGGCATGTTCCAAAGGTTACGTACCATATGATTCCCTCTGCAGGATGTTTTTGAATAGCCAGAACTAATGGGACAGAAAACTGATGAGTGGTTTCCAGGAACTGGGGCAGGAAGAGGCTGGACCACCAGGGAGAGTGAGAGAATTTGGGGGATTATGGGGCTGTTTGGTTTCTTGATTATGGGAGTGATTATATAACTGTGTGTTTTGCAAAACTGGTAGAATTGTACACTAAAAAGGGTGAATTTTACTATATAAATTATACCTTAATTTTTTATAATGTGAAAAAGTTAATAGAGCTGATAAACTGTTTTTGAGCCTGGTGTAAAGAAGTCTTTTTTTAACTGGTTATACCCTTTGCAAATAAGGTTTTCACCACCAATTTGCTTAGTAACCTTTCTATCCCCCTCACTGCTGGACTAAGGTAGGTCTCAGCCCAGTGAAAATGATAATGAATTCTGAGTTCACAAAGTCAGCAGAATCTGAATTAAAGAAGTTTTACTTTAATATTTAGATGACATCTTTAATCTCAAAGCTTTTCTGGAATAGTGTTCTTCATCACAGAAATACAGCCCTGTCTTGAGTAGCAGAGAGCAGAGATAATCAATGATAAGGTAACTATTTCATGGGAGAAATGATGAAACTATAGTAGCCTGTTTGCCAAAGATGGAAGAGGTGGAGTTGAGCTCCCAAGACTCTTGGAGTCCAGCTAACCTGTGCCTCTGTGGTTCCCTAACAGGATCTTCATGATCCTCGCATCAGCCTCTGGAAGCCATCCCTGGGCAAGATGCAGGAGTAAGATGAATTCCCTTCCAGACCGAGGCCCCCCCCAGCAGTGATATGCAACTATATTCCCATCAACACATCCCCAGGGAACAAAGTCCCCTTTTAACAACCTGGCTGTATAAAAACAAGTAAATTCGTGGAAGCAGAGCTTCTGTGGCTGGAGCCATCCAGTTTTGCTGTTATCATATTTCATCCAGGGTATCCTCAGACAATATTTTTTCTGTATCCAATTTTATTTTTCAAAACACCAAACTCATATTCATTTCCCTCTTTATATTGGGACCCAGTAGCCAGATGCTCTATCTATTCTCCCCCACTCCCCTTAATATAATTTACTTCTGGTAACAAAACCCAGGGGAGTGGCAAAGGCAGTGCCTGTGCCCCCTGGTGGCCTGTCTCCCCACCCAGGTGCACCACGCCAGCGCAGACTGCCCAAAGCATTTCCCCACATTCTAGCAGCTGCAGAGCACGGGACATGACCACGTGGGAAGCAGGCCCTCTCCCATTACAGTTTTCTAGCTCATTTTTGCAAATACTGAAACTGAAGTAATGTGTTGTTTTTATTACTGATTTTCTGAAACTCTCCATAAACAAGTAAGACACGGACAAGTTATGCCCGCACAGCTGTAGAGAGATTTAAAGTGACTTTTAAATAGGAGCAATGTCCAAGGCCCTATCTGTGTCTTCAGTCTTCTGAACCCCGGGCACCTGGACAGCTGCCCCTGGGTCCCTCACATCCCAGGGTGGTGATGGCGGGAGGGCCGGCCAAATCAAGCAGGAGGGATAAAGAGTCTTCACTGTGTCCAGACCAGGAGTCCTGGGCCTTGAGACTCTCTGTATATTGGTCACTGTTCTCTATGCTATTTTTGGCCTGTTTATGTAGTCTAATGAGCTGTTCTTTCTTCCAGGAATGAATCTTGGTCTTCTCCTTCTTCTTCCCCTGCCGGCTGGCTGCCACCTCCTGGTACTTTTAGCTAACCGTGGGAACCGGGTGCTCCAGGTGGACAGACTTTCACAGAAGCTCTGGATGCACAACTTCAGGGACCGCCATCTGCTTCTTCTTGTCGGAGGGTGGCCTGGCCTCCCTTGGTTGGGTGGGCGGCGTGTCTCCATCAAAAGGTGCGGCTGCAGCCCGATGTGGTTAGGGTTATGGAACTGGTTGGTGTTCATGTGCTTTTGGAGAAAGGCCGGACATTTTAACTTGTTTCTACAGAAGCTGCCAGAAATGGTCATATCTTCCCAGTGCGTGAGCGTCACCTCTGATCCTGGTTGGCCATGGTGGGTCGGCCATCTTCAGCAAACGCTTAAAGAAACTTCTGTTTTTTTTTAACTACTCAACAAATATTTATTGAGCACCAACTGCTTATGTTATAAAGGTCTATTCACTGAAAATACACCTGTGAAGAAAGTAACATTCCTGTCTTCATGGGCCTTATCATTACAGAGGAGACAGAAAATAAACAAATAGGTAATAATACCAAGTCTGATATGGATCAGTGTGATGCAGAAAAACAAGGCAAGGCCAGGAGATAGAGAGAAATGTGGGCTCTTTTAAATAAGGTGGTCAGGGAAGGCCTCTCTGAGGAGGTGACATTGACCAGGGACTTGAATGCCAAGGAGCGGGTCACGTGGACAAAAATGGAACAAGAACGAAGAGGAGTCCTGGCATGTTGGAGATGGTAAGTAGGATTCACAGGTAGATGAGGGAAAGTGTGAGAGCAAATAGGGCTTCAGGAAGAAGTTTGAATTTTATTCTACGTGTAATGGAGGCCACTGGATGATGTCCAGCAGCGGGATGACATTTTAATTTTAAAAAATCTTCACGGAAAGACATGCTCATTTAGTTTTAGAGAGAGAAACATTGATGTGAAAGAGAAACACAGATCAGTTGCCTCCATACAAGCCTCATCTGGGGACTGAACCCACAGCCTAGGCATGTGCCCTGACCAGGGACTGAATCTGCAACCTTTTGGTGTGTGGGATGACGCTCCAACCACTGAGCCACTTGGCCAGGGTGGGGTTGAAATTTTAAAAGGCCGATGGCTTCTATACACAAGATGGATTGCAATTGGAATCAAGAAAACCAGCCAGGAGACTGTTGTGGTGGCCCAGGCAAGATATCACGGCGGCTTGGACTAGGGAGGTGGTGAGAAGGGGCTGGATTCAGGATGTATTTCTAAGACTGACTAGACTGTCTGATGGATGAATGTGGGGTGTGAGGACCCGAGGTTTCCTTTCCTATTTATGCACTAGAAAAAGTACTGGCTTTAATGCAGGCCTGTGCTAGACACTGGAGATGCAAAGATGAACAGGGAACAATTAGTGCCTTCCAGGAACTTATCAGGGCAGGACTTCAAATTTCTAGACTTTTAGAGGCCCGTGCAGAGTGCTGTGGGGTGGGCAGAGAAAGGGAGCAGATTGTCCCACACTGGGGACGCAGGGGAGGTTTTAGTTTGAGTTTGAAGGGAGGACAGTAGGTCACTAGACGCAGAAAGCAGGGAAGAGTGTTCCAGAGAGAAGGATCAGCGAGTGTGCAGTGGGGTGTTGTGGGATGGTGAGGGTTGCCTGGGGTGTCGGTGGGAGAGAAGGCTGGAAATGCTGGTTGGGGAGAAGCCTAGGTGCCAGCGAAGCAGTGACCACTTCACCCTAAAGACAATGGGGCATTTGTAAGCCAGAGGGTAATACGGGTGTCCCTCCTTCTTATCCAGTAGGCGGGTCCATTCACTGATCCTGACAAAAATTATACTTGAACTAAATCTTACTGAATGTGTGTGGCTTCAGTCAGAGTGTGGTGTATTAGATTCTTTTGTCAAGAAATGAAATTTCCTTCCATCTTACTGATATCAGCAAGCAGAAGCATGCTCACTCTTTGGGCAGAAAATGCTATTAATCTTGTGGTTAATTAATATTTATTAAACATCCGCTCTGTGCCAGACACTGTGCTAACTGCTGGGAATCCAGCATGAACCCCTTGCTCTCCTGGAGCTTGTTAAATGTAGTAAATAGAGAACAAGTGGTTCTGAATGTGATGTACCATCAAAAGAACAGTGAAAAAATGGTAAAGATGCTGCAGAATAATTTAATGTGGAGTTGACCTCGTTTAGGGGTTCCGAGAGGCCTCCCCAAGAAAGCAGTCTTTAAGTTAAAATGAGACTGATCATATTTTTATTATTAGCAGCATTATCATCCCATAGTTCTTCCATAATAAGCCTTTCTTTCAAGTGGTTGCTTCTCTGCTGCTTTGAATCATGTCCAGCTCTTGCCCACCTTGAAAAGAGAAAACCCCCAAATCTCTGACTTTTATGCAACCGAGTTAAGCTTTTTCACCATTCTCCAGAATTAGCCAACACACACATCCTTGCATTCATACATTCACGTACTCATTCACTTGTTCAAGCTCTATCCTATGTGCAGGGTGTTTGTGGGGACGCCAGATAGGAGCAGGATGTGAGGTGCGGGACAGGATAGGAAGCGAAGCCGAGTTTGTTTGTTTGGAGGACGTGCAAAGGACTGTGGAGTCCGTTCTGCAGGTGTTGGAGAGCTGCTGGAGGGTCTCAGCCTGACTTTGTAATCCCAGTCAGTATTCAAGAACACCAGACACGGGACACAACTGATGTCTAGAGTTGCGGAAGTGTACACTCAAATCTTAGCTTTACCGTTGAACCGCTGTGTGGCTGCGGGCACATTACTTGACTTCTCTGAGCCTAAGTGATATAATATCTACTTGAAACATCTGTTAAGAAAATTGAAATTACCTGAGCTCTTATTATAGTTAAAAAATCTAACAGTTTTTTGCACATAGTAAGCATTTGTAAATAAGAATTATAAAAGTAAAAACAGCTAACATTTGCTGACACTTACTATTTATGCTAAATGTTGTGCATGCATTCCGTCATTCAAATTTCACAACAAAGTCAGGAAATAGATGCCCACAGCTAGGTATGTGCCCTGAGAAGGGATCGAACCTGCAACCTTTTGGTGTACAGAATGATGCTTTAACCAACTGAGCCACTGGGCCAGGGCCCTTTCCATCCCTTTAAGCCTTTATGTAACTTTTACTTAAAGTTCCCATGAGGGGCAAAAAGGAGAAGTATGGGTTTAGCGGTCCTTTCACATACATCCTGCAGAAGATGCTGTGAGCAGAGTGACAGTCCTAGGGGAGGATGAATAGCTATGGATCCCAGTAGGTCTGCCCCCTGGACAATCTGCCTGAGAAGGGACCAGAGCCCACAAGGCACCCAGATCAAAGTGCTGGGTACAGGCAAGCAGGTGCTGTTGCCAGCACAAGCTTTGGGCAGACAGCAGCCTGGCTGCGCTGGCCCAGCTGGGACCCCAGGCCTCTGTGTGAACCTAGGGCCCTGGGGCTACTGTGTCCTTAGCTCCAGTTATACAATCCTGGTTACTGCATCCCTTTTTCCCATCAAGCAGCTGACAATGCCAAAAAACTTAACTTCTCACCTGTGGGGTGGCAACAGCCTCCTGCATCTCCCCTGCTTTGATAATGAAGAACAAATAATGATACTGTTTGAAACATCCAAGCCCTCATCTGAGTTCATGCTGCGGTTTCCAAGGTGTGTGTGCTAGGGAAGCAGTGAGGTGGGAGGCAGGGGAGTGGCAGGACCCAGGGCTCAACGACCTGATAGAGACCAGCTGAAGCCAGAGGTGGTCTGGGGTAGGCGATGGGGGGAGACGGAGGCAGTGAGTTTGCCTTGCTTTAGAAAGGCCATTTCTGGCTGGATTGACATAAAGGCTGCCTGTGAACTTTTATTTCTTCAAACGAAGTCTCAGACCTTCCTAGAAACAAACTGATGGGTATCCATTTCTGTAGCATTAGGACTTATACATAATGACCATTTTCAAGCAGGTTTCACTTCATTTTAGCAAATGATAAGGCATTTCATTGGAGTTACTTCTTCAGCAATAAAATTGAACTGAGAAGAAAGATCTGAAACAATTTGGCTATCACTGCTGATGAGGGTTTATCAGGGCTTTGATTTTTCCAGGTCTGTGCACAGGTAGGAAAACCCTAATGTGCCAGCAGCCCCTGCAGGGAGCCCAAGGCCGGCGTGGGGAAGGGATCCTGGCAAAGTTAACACCGCAGACCCATCAGAATTTCATCCAGGACAGGACAGTCACTATCTATTTTCTCAGGTATGACTGGAGAGAGAGAGTATCTGAATGATGTTAGTGCATAGTGCTTTTTAATTTTTACAAGTAATTCAAATCGTTAATATTCACATACTATAGAACTTAAAGAAAAGTTAACTGTTGTTATAAAGAACCACGAGGAGCCTGTTAATCCAGCTAACACACCGTCTCCGGGTTGTCAGCTCTGCACTTGCTCCTTCTCCTGGCAACACCACCAGGGAGGGACTAAAATGATGATGGGCTCTTTCTGAAAAGGCTCAGGTGCAAAAATTCCCCATTCCCTAAGTTGCAGGTGTGATTAGGGGTGGGTAAAATATGTGGTCTGGCCTCTCGCACTTGTATTAATCGATTAAGTAAGCATGTATTCAGTGCCTAAAGGTGTCAGCGTGGGCCGGGGCTGGGGACCAAGACTGATACTGGATTCCTGGTTCTGTGGGATTACGTGACTTGCGTTTATCCATGACAAATCTTTTCCTGGCCTGGTGAAAAAATGAGAATTCCCTCTCGCTCTCTAATCAATATAACCAGTGCTCTAGGTCAATAGGAGGATCAATGGCAATAAGAAAGCCTGGTTCTATTTCATCTGGAAAATTAAACCTCCTTCCCCAAATGTCCTCAGTGACGGACCCTCATAAGTGAGGATAATCTTCCCTGTACTCTAAGCAGGTTGTTTTAGTATTCTGTCAGCCTCCAGAGCAGAAAGAAAAATCATTTTTGAAGCTTCCTATTCCGCTGAATGTGTCTGGAACCTTGGTGCTAAACAGGCAATAAATCATAATAAATGGAAATAGTCGCCCATGGCATGATCTGATTGAGTCATTTAAACAATCACTTTGTGTTGACAAAGTGTAGGGTGATTATGCCCGAGGAATTCAAAGGTGCTTAAAACAAATGAACTGGAGAAATTGCTTGAAAAATATGGGGGGTTCGTCCAGGGCAATAGACTTCCTTCATTCTGGCTCAGCCTTGAAGTCCGTTGACCTGAGTAATTAAGACACTCCTAATTCTTCGTCCTGAAGTTGGGTGGAGGGGGCCTGACCACAGAGCTGCCACCTGAGATTTGCCTTCTAAATATGAGGTTTTGAGAAGGAAACCTCACAGGGACCTGCTAATACTCCTCTGCTATTTGGGAGATTAACTCTCACATTAATGTGGGTAGAGTCATTCGGAGGGCCGCTCCCAGCACATGTGCAACCGTTTTAACA